AGATAAACATGTTTAAAAAAGACAAGTTCAACTGTAACTGAAATATAAGAAAAGACCTGATAATCAGATACTAATTAATAATTTTTAAAAAGTTAACTGTTACATGAAAGATTGAAACCATTAGAATAAGTATCTGAAAAATCACCATAGGACAAACAAATTAATAACTTAGCACAATGTTGCTGTTGAGAACATATCACACAGGAACACTTTCAGAGGAAAAAGGTTATTTTATTGGTGTGGACAGATATGCATTTCGAGCTTAATGCCCCTCTTCAGTCCTGAGATAGTGGTAGTTAAACCAACATGACTTGCAAGATATATACACATAGTTTAAAAAGGGAGAAAAAGGAGCTAATAGTTCTTTTGGTTCAATACATATACACATGAGGATCATGGGCGTAGCTAGGGGGGAGCCAGGGGGGGCATGGCCCCTCCCAGAGAACCTGGTGCCCCCCCCAGGAAATNGTGTCTTCAGTTTGTATCATTGTCACCACTGACAAATCAAAAATGCAAATCTTCATTTACAGAGACAGCCTTTTATTTAAGGCTAAGCCTCTGTGAAAAAAGGTAAATTTGAAAAAAGGTTTCTGGCCACAATATCATAAATTAAAACCAATTGTTCATTAACTATTGGTTTTAATTTATGGATTGTAAAGAGAAAACTTTTTGTATTCAATATATTTTTACTATGAAAATTATCATCAGCCATTTATGAACTATTAATTTTAATTTATGCTAATGTCACCAGAAGATATTTTTACCAATTTACATTTTTTACAGAGATGTAGCCTTAAATAAAAGGTTGTCTCTAAGTGAATATTTGTTTGTTTGTTTGTTTTTTTTTTTTTTTTGTCAATGGTGACTGTTAAACAAAAATTGTGAAGACAACAACTTTTTTATTTTTTAAGAGATTGTAAGAGATTTTTACATACACTTAGAACCATTTACACATATGCATTTAAAATTTTTAATACATACTTTTACTTGACAAGTAAGAAGATTTACTTTAGTAGGAGGCTTTGTTTCCTAAAAAAAAATTAATTAATTGAAATCAAAATTTTTCAATTTAAACAGAAAATCTATTTATTACATACATCAGAATGTGATATATATAAATATCCATCTCTTATTTCACATCGTCGTTTTTGCCAAACTTTTCTCATTTTTCCATCTGACTTCTTATGCAAATGCCCAACTTTAGTATAACCATAATGTTTATTACCTTGCAATTGATGGAGACTATATCCTGATTGCAAAGTTGATAAACACTAAATAAATAATGAAATTATTATTGATATTATGCAAAATACTAAAAAGTCAATTAATTTTATATTATCTTAGAATAAAATATAATAGATTTTTCTCCCCACAAAACAGGTTCAGAAAAAATTTTGAAAATAGTTCTGATTTGCTTCTTTCTGAAGTAAGTTCTATTATTCAATTTAGTTCATAAAACTTTATATAAAAAAATTTACTAAATATCTGAATATATATTTTTCTACATATAAATTACTTCATCAATAAATAATTCCTTAACATTCGACAACATCAAAAAGAAAGAAAAAACAGATTTTCCTACAACTTTCCAGCACTTGAACAAGAAGTTAAGCAGAAAATTGTGTGTTGTGCCATCTGTTATTAAGATTTTATTAAAAAATAATTTTTTATAGTATTATTATAAAAGGAAAAAAAATCCTTATTTTTGGAATACGAGCGAATTTTTCTAAAAAAAGTTTTGAATGCCAATACAAGTAAATCAAGTAAAATTTACATTAAGCCTGAACCCACTTGAGATATCACCCTTACTCCTCCATCTTCTTTTGACTTACAATCTCCAAAATTAACAGCGTCAATGCCTATATGAGCCGTTGATTTTGAAAGTGAGGCAAATTCATTTTATGTTATTGCTGTATATTTAATGGTTTGTATATAAATGAGTTTAAAAATATTTGTAAGCAGTAATATACTTATTTTATATATATATTTTTTATTTCATGTAAATTTAATATGCAATAATTGTTATCCACATTAGGTGAAAAAATCATGCACCTGTGGACTTGCCTCACTTTCAAAAGCAATGACTTGTTGAAAACATTGCTTTTTTTTTAATGAAATATAGTTATAATAAAGAAAATTGAATATTTTATTTATTTACTTATTTATTTTATTTCAACATTTAATACTTTTTTCAAAAAGCTACAATGAAACAAAAAATAAATTTAATTTTATAAGAAAAAGTGGAGAAAATAATAATAAATATTTAGTAATAAGTTGCATGCATATAATTATATTTCTTAGTTTAGATGGTGCAGATTTTTAAAGTATTCATGATAAATGGGTGGTATATAAAGTAATAAATCCATATCATCTTCATATTTTCTTTAAAGTGGACTTGCCTCACTTTCAAAATCAACTCACTGTAAATATCATTGATGATATTTACAGTGAGCTCTTTTTTGTCAATTGGAATAATATAACCAAAAAAAGTTGATCATCTTGTCAAGAGACCAGGATATGTAAATATAGGAAGAACAGTCTTCAATTTGGGAATCTCAGAATTTAAAAACTTTTGCTGAATACAAAAAGTCTTCCAGAAAGTTCAGGAAAGTTGATAATTCTACTTAAAAAAGTAATGGACGTTTTTTTCAATTATTTTAAAATTAAGGACTACTGGTTAAATGACCTTGAAAGTATTTTGTCTTGAGGTACTCATGAAAGAATTCATTATATTTTATAATATTGAAGCAGATGAGTGCCTGAAGAGCAAAGTCAACTCCACAATGAAACTATTATGTTTGAGAGAAAAAAAGAATGAAATGTGAAGATACTTTTAATTTATTTTAGTGTTTCTTCTATTTTTGTAAATTTTTTTAAAAGTATATTTATTGTCCTGGCCCTTTTTTGTCAATTGAAATAATATACAGTGGTACCTCAGGATACGAAATTAATCCGTTCCGAAACTGAGATCGTATCATGAAAATGTTGTAAGGTGAATCATTTTTCCCCATACGATTACATATAAAACCAAATAATTCATTCCAACATGAAAAACATTCTGAAATTAAAGCTTAGTANGTTTAAATACATTACTGGCTTCCCTTTCATGGTCGAGCCAGTGTTGCCAGCTAAAACACGCAAAAATTTAACAAAAATTATATTAAAGTAGCCAAGACATAGCCAAATATTGTAGCGCCACATCACTAGCAGACATTTGAAGTTTGCCGACTAGAACGATCGATTAACTGATGTGACGGTTAATCGGGGGTCAGATAATCGATGCTCTACTGTATTACATCCAAGTTTTATCTAATGTTGATTTCCCAATAACTCCTATTCAGTTCAAGAATATCTAAAATAGCTACCAAACTTAGAGATTATCCAAGAAAATAAAGCATAGGATTAAAGCATACACTTGTTTATGCCAATCTGAATTGCATACAGTAGCTGTTCATCCTACCATGTATTTTCTGCAATCTTGCAAAAACCTCCGATCTACAAGGGTAATTCATCTCATTCTTCTCATCAATGATGAACATCTTTGGTTAGAAGAATATGAGAGAGTTATCAGATACAAAACATAAAGTGAAATTAAAAAAAATTAGCTTCCTAAAGGAAATAGCTTGATGCTGGTTTACCAACAAAAATTCAATCAGCAAATAAACAATGTTGTGCAATACATTTTTTTCATTTCATTTGGAAAATTTCAATAAACAATGAAAAATTATGTAGAGATCCAAGCTCAGATCTCTGACAATTGAGGATAATGAATCTTACATCCAGGTGTCTTTGTCATGTCCTGAAAGTTGACCCTGAATAAATCTAATAATGAATGTTAAAACATCTGTTAAAGAGAGTTACTAAAGATTTATTCAATATCTTAAATGCACCTGACATTTCTACACACATTGAATTTGTATCATCCTGTCACTAAATTAAAAATTACAGTGTTAACTGAGCCAAGGGTAGGAATTTTTGTCAACTTAAAAACATTGCTACTGCAAGTATAGACAGTGGAAGAAGTGAAATGCTGATTGAAAAAATAACTTGATGGAAATGCAAGACTATGCAGAAAGCCTTCCATAATGGACTTGGACTGATAGTGACCACTTTGATATGGCCAGAGATGTTTTGGACTGGATCAGTTATATACAGCAACATGACATATGGGCAATCTGCTGAGAGGGGGTATGGCTCCTGGGAGGACTTTCTATGGGAAACTGGTCCCTATTTAAGTGGTACAAACATGAAAAAAACCTGGAAAATTGTAGGTGGCCAGCCCATTGGCAAAGCACAAATCCACAACAAACTACCAGTGTTCAGCGGTTTTATCTACTTAGCAACTAGTGAAATGTCTTACCAACAGAAAATAGAACTAATATAACTGCAATAAGACTGATGAATTAGCCTGCCAAAATGAAACACAAATATCTGGCACACTGCTATTGAATTCCTCTCTGGTAACTGCAGATAAATACAACACTACTGCCAAAACCAACTCCAGCAAGGATCTCAATCAGTATTGCACCATAACAATCTATCTACAACTTTCCTTACTACCAGGAGAAACTGAAATCTGAGCAACTGCCAATTCCAAGAATGTTCCAAAACATATCAAGCATCTCTGTGGTGATAATGCAGTTTCAGCCTGATCTACCACCTATACATTGCCATCAATTACTATTGAACATCATGAAGGAATCCATTGACAAATGAATTCTTGATCAGGATTTCCTAGAAAGGACCAATGCCTTCATAGACAGTAGAAACCAACTTGTCCATTTTAAAACTATCAAGTTGACATCTCTGTCATCTGTGTCTGCAGTAACCATCTAGTGATACTTTGACCTCCAGTGCTCAAAAACTGTTGGACAAATTTACACTTAAATAATAATTTTTTATTTAAGTGTAAATTGTAAATTTTATATTTTCTTTTAATACAAAAATACATTAATTCATAATTTTATTATATATTAAATGAGTAATTAAAAAAAGAGTACCTTTAGTTGAATTACAATCACAGCATCTATCATTTCCAGGTAACCTTTGTATTTGTCGTATTATACTTTGTTGTAATTCTAATAGACTTTGATTAAATTTATCTCCTCCTGACTGTCCAGAATCATCAAACTTTGTTAAAGCTTCTCGTAAAGCACCTTGCTTACAATTTATTAACACAGACATCCACCTAATACAAAAAAAGTGTTGTTATACTTTTAAAAAATGTTTTACTCTTGAATATAAATTAGTTTAAATTATTGAAATAAAGTTTATAAAAAATAAATTGAAAATGTTCTATAATATTAATATTTGATTTACATTAATAATAAATATAATTATTATAATAATTATATACACAGTATGTCAAAGTTCCAATGTAACTGGTTAAATTAAAAATGATAAAAACATGCATTTTTTTGTTTTTTTATTCTTTTTAATAAGCTACTTAAGTTTCAATACATTGCTTACAATGATTATCAAATTTTTCAAAGGACTTCCTGTATGCTTTTAATGAGATCTGACTTATAGTCAGTCAGTCAAGGCTTTTTGGATGGCAGGAGTAACTTCAAAATTAATGCCTTTCAATTTAAGTTTTAATATAAAAAATACTAAACAGTCAGCTAAAACCAATACAATGGATGCTCAAGTACTCCAATGCCTTTAGATGCCAAAAATTTGACTACTTGTTTTAATCTTTAAAACTGTACATTTTCTATACAACCATGACCAGCTTCCTAGTTCATGGTATTGAAAACAAATATAAAAAATATGGACCCATAAAGATTGCATAACCAGGGCTTAAAGTAGTCATGGCAGTGAAATAAAGTGAAAAAAGAGAATTCACACTGAAAAAAAGCTAATAGTGTTAAAGTGAATTAATTAAAAGAGGTGTTATTAAAAAAACACACACACATTTTGTATCAATAACATTACATATGATATTAGATTGATTATTACGTAGACTGAAAAAATTAAATATGAAAATAGTTATGGTGCGTTTATACTCCAGAAAAGTCACCAGTAAGACTGTATTAAGCCAGAATGGGCCTGCATTAAGTTTTCATGTGCCCCGTACGAAGTTCCCACCGCTATACAGCAAAGGAAATGGAAGAGTAACATAACTACCAGAATGTCTCCCCATATAACATGCCAAATTTCAAATGCCATTTATTTCAAGGTACATTTTTTAATTTCTTGTTTAAAAAATTTGTAATTAAAAAAGATTTTCTTTTGTTTAAGTCATGCTGCAATTTCTGCACTTCTTGTTTTCTCTTCATCACATTGAATTTTCTTTGCACCTTCCAATAGTCCTTGGGCAAGATGTATCTCTTCAATGCTGTTTTTCTCAACAGTGCTTCATAGTCTATTAGTGGCTTCTTCAAATATTCAAGACCTCATTTTCCTTTGCATTTCTTCTTTTTTCTTCAGCTCAACTTCAAGAGTATTAATTTTCTCTCTCTCCTGTTCAAGTGCTTTTATTTTATCCTCTTCTTTTCTCTCCCTTCCTTCTTTTTCTTTTTTTTGCTTTTCTTCTTCTTTCAGTTTACTTTGCTTGTCCAAAAAAGCATTGTAAGTAGCATATGCATTGTGGGACAACCCAAGTAACTTTGTCATAGACACCAAAAAGGCATTATAGTTGTATATAAGGAGTCCATCTTTTACTATCAACAATGAATTCATCATCTGTTCTGACATAAAGGCAGGCTCTGTCTTCTGTCAGAACAGATCTAGAAATGGAGAATCCTCTTTCAACATCTGCATTGCCATGACTGAGAGCCAACAACCAACCCTTTGACTACTTTAGCAACAGTTGGATATTTTAGCCTCCCAGCAGAATTCTTCAGGTCAAATAAGTGCTTATAATCATGTTATTTTAAAGCAAATAACTTCTAAAGAATTCAAATTTGTCCTGGAAATAATTTAATTTTTTTCATTGGGATTTTTAAATCATTTTATATAGTTTTATAACACCATATAATTTTTGTATTTTTNTAAAACCAAATAATTCATTCCAACATGAAAAACATTCTGAAATTAAAGCTTAGTAGTACAGTGGAAAAAAAAATAATAATAACTTTAGTAAGGAAAACACTGAAAAATGCATTTTGTAGTTGTAAATGTATAAATAACTAAAACAGAATAATAATTGATTTAAAAAAATGTAGTTTTATTTGCACTTTACCTTTGAGGATAGACGTCGGCGGAGGAGGAGAGGGAAAAAGGAAATGATACTAAAACTTAACTTACATGACATAATGTAACAATAACTTAAAAATAACTTAACACTAATTTTTTAACTTTTCTGTTTTATATATATTTTATAAATATTTTATTCACTGCTTTTTGCCATATTTCCTTCACTTCCACCAGCACTTTAACGCGGCCGGATGGCCGGGCGGTCAAGGTAGCAGCCTACTGCTCTGGGGGACTCAGGTTTGAATCTGAATGGGTCAAAAATCCCCAGTAATTTTTTGGGGGGTCTGTTCAGATATGTCTGGCCCCGTCCCTCACCACCCGGCAGTCCCATTGTGGGCCTGGCCAAACCCATAATGGGCTTGCAAAAAGAGGCACTCTTAGTGCCCACAGGGCGAAAAGAGTAAAAAAGAACCCAGCGCTTTCACTTCACTAAATAGAGGTCACTCAATAAAATATCTATCCAAAGAGGTTTGGCTTTGCCTAGTTTTTAAAATGTTTCTAAAATGACTTAGGCAAATGTCATTACTCCGAGCAGCAATACGGCCAGTGTAAACCTTTNAAAAAATTAAATAAATAATTAAAAAATAAAAGTGAGATTAATAACATACAAAACTGAGCAAAAACATACAGGGTGTCCCAGAAGTCTTTCCCTGATTACAAACACACAGAAGGCAGAAAATATGACACACAGACACATATCTTTTATCTTGAATTGCAGGTAACATATTCAAGTTTTTGTGTGTACATACATACTCACTGTTATTTTGTTACAAAACAATCACAGCCAATACCTATCTTGATATGTTGCAGTTATTTGTTGTGCTACAGATTCAGGACATTCAGAACTTAATTTTCCAACAAGGTGGTGTGCCACCTCATTGGGGGGGTTAGATGTTCGTGCCTATTTGGATACAGCATTTCCAAAAAAATGGATCGTGCATGGTGGTCCCATCAACTGGCCTCTGCGATCACCGGACATAACACCACTGGATGTCTTCCTCTGGGGTTATGTCAAGGACCAGGTTTACCATACACCATTGAACGACATCACAGCAGTACCAATGTCATAACATCCATCCCTCATGATATGTTGACCAACACATGGGTAGAATTGGAATATCACCTGAATATCTTTTGAGCAATGAAAGGAGTACTTGTCGAAATTTATTAATGAGTATGTATGTACACACAAAATCTTGAATATGTTACCTGTAATTCAAGATAAAAGATATGTGTCTGTATGTCATATTTTCTGCCTTCTGCATGTTTGTAATCAGGGAAAGACTTCTGGGACACACTGTATACAGTAGAGCCTCGATTATCCGACCCCCTATCAACCGACCTCTCGGTTAACCAACCGTCCTAGTCGGCAAATTTCAAATGTCCGCTACTGATGTGGCGCTACAATATTTGGCTATGTCTTGGCTACTTTAATATTATTTTTACGTGTTTTAGCTGGCAACACTGGATTGTGGATTGACCATGAAAGGGAAGCCAGTAATGTATTTAAACGAGGCTTAACTTTCTAATTTTTAACAATACAATAGCGATGATTATTATTTTAAAAAATTTTTGTTAGGCTTAACATCGATGAAAATTCAACGCAAAGTAGGTTAATAGCAATATACTAATATACTAATTACATGGGATATAATAATATACTACACTAATAATAGATTTTTTCATACTTTTTGGTTATCCGCCCTTTCAATTATCTGACCAACCCCATTAGGTCGGATAATCGAGGCTCTACTGTATATCAATTATAGATAATAAATTAAATAAATTTACAATGTTGTATTAACAATAAAAACTTTTTTTTAAATATAAGAACTCTAACAGTATATTAACACTGAAAAAATAGTCCAACATATAAACAATTAAAGCAACAAAAAACATGAAAATAATGGGTATTAATGTGTACCCATCCATAAATATACTCTTAAATATGATAATAGTTTTAAATAGATTTCAAAACAATAAAACCAAAATTAAAATTTCAGTAAAGGTTTTATTAATTAAGCTATTTCAAATAAATCTGAATAAATAATTTCAACTTGAACTGAGGAACTGCATCATTAATATAAATGGTACAGGTATGTAAATTAATTTTATAGTATGTGAAAACATATATAAAATATTACAATAAAAATGTTTTAATAATGAATTTGTTATTTCAACATTTTAACTTTTATTATTAATATATTAATACTAATTTTTTAATTTAAAAGTAAACAGGTTATTTGTTTAAATGATTGAAGTTTACTTAATGTAATTCTTATAAAATTAAAATAAAAACAATTTTTTAACTGCTCTCATAATTTAAAGTCACTTGAATTGGGCCAAATTTGTAATCCTAACAGCCTTTAAAACAATCTATATTATATTCACATACACAAAATTCTATATGAAGGTTAAAAGTTGACAATTAAGTTCCATTGTATTAATTCTTTGTACAGACAAGTTCCATTTTGAAATAACACTGCAAAATAAAGTCTCATTTTCACATTAATATTCAGAAAACAATGAAAATAACATTATGTAATCAGACACATTGATACATATTTTCCTCACAACAGTTCAAGCAGTAGTACTATAGTAGAGCATCGTTTATCCAAAATGTCAGTTATCCGAAAGAATTTCAAATGGAAAATTTAAATTTTTGCTAGTGCTGTGGCGCTGCATTCTTTGACTATGTCTTGGGCTACTCCAATAGTTTTTATGTTTGTGTATGTGCTTTAGCTGGTAGCACTGGCACTTTTGTGTGGTGTTTTTCTGAAAACTGTGTCATGCTGAATCGAACGTTTTTGATACTAGATTAACTTCTAAAGTATAATTTTTTTTTGATTTTATATTTTTCAATATATTTATTTTGTTTGTACAAAATAAAGAAATAATTTTTAATGATACAATAGCCACGATTATTATTTTAAAAAGTTTACGTTAAGCTTAACATTGATCAAAATTCAACACAAAGCGACACGCAATAGAGAAAAATTTCAACATGGGATAGGTTAATATATTTTTTCATACATAAACAGTTATCCAAAAAATAACTTATCCAAACAACCTCAGTCCCCAATTGATTCAGATAAACGACGCTCTACATTATTATATTCAACAGTATAAAATATTAACAGAGTCTCAAAACAATCATCATATATTGTATTTTTTAAAAGTTATTAAATGTCATGTATTATACTGTACTAATACTTAAAATGCATTCAAGAAGCAATTGTTTCTTTATTTCTGATTGTTCAATATCAATAAAAGCAAAAAATATCCTATCAAATAATTGCAATCCAAAATTAAAATTAATATATGCAAATTTTAAAGCAAATAAAATATAAAATATTTATTTTAACAATAAAAATTTATTTTATAATACATACATGAAATTAAATCAAAACATTTTTTCTCTTCTGGAATAATCTGTAAACAGATTATAAATTTATATTATTATATTAAGTAATAAATAACTCAACTGTTTGTTTTTTTGTACAATTATACTATACAGAGATTACTATAAATAAAATATTATTACAGTACTTTTTTTTTTAGACCATTACCTAGAATTTTATCATAATAATGTAAAATTACAATTTGCAAATTAGTTGTTAATCACACAACTGAATGAATATACTGTATCATCATATTAAGTCAGCTTTAATGTGAGGCATTAAAATGTAAATTTTCAATTTCTAACTTAAAAATCTTTCCTAATTAAACTATTCTTTCTTCAATTAGATTACTGCTGTTGTTTTCTATTTAGGCTAACAATATTTTTTTAAAAAATTTCAAAATTTTACAAGTTCAATTTAGTGATAAAATATTGTTGCATCTGAAGTGTTAGTCTTAACTTCCTCACCGCCAATGAAAAAAAATATATATTTATTTTTTAGTTAAAAATAAACTTAAAATTTTAATAAAATTTAGTGATTATATTAATCATACTAATTTGTTTTTTGAAAAAATAAAATTTTTGTGCTAAGAAAAATTTATAATTTAAAATCATTGTTAGACAAATTCCTAGTAGTAAAATTAAATTAATTTGCCACTTACATTCACAGTTATTATTGGCATAGATTATTGCATATAAGATATGGTTCAAGTCAATGAGGACATGTATTATCACTAAATTTATTATTATACATTTTGTTTAAAAATGTATAATAATAAATTTAGTGATAATACATGTCTAACTTTTTAGATGTAAAATGTTCTATCACTAAGTAGAATTAATACTGGATGCAATTTTTAAACAAAACACTCAACACCTTGAAATCTGATGTTTATTTCAATCATTTAAAATAAACATCACTCTATATGCCAGGTACACTGACAATATATACATAATTTGGCACAAGAAACCAAAATCTACAACAGCTTTTAACAACTATAAATAACAACCCTTAGCTTTCATCTCTGTATTAAACAAGACCATCCCCACATGATACAGTTCATTTCCTAGACATTTTACTCAACATCCATCATCAAAATGTTTATACCTATTTATTGGAAATAATCTTATAGCCCATTATTTATTCCTGCAGTTCCATATGATCCATACTCTTTCAAAATCTGTTTTTAAAGCTCTGGTCAAGACAGAGTATATCCATTCATCAAACAGCAACAATAGAATAAAGAAATTGGATTATACCACTAACAATAATCTGAAAATTGTCAAGGGTTAATTAGGAAGTACACCTCTCTAAACCATTACACCAATCAAGAACATACTTCTTATAAAGTTATAACCTACAATAATCATCTTAGATGTACTTTCAAAGAAATAGTGAGAGTCAAAAACATAAAAGTTATCAATAAACACAACCTTACCGTCTACTCCATACTGCAGAATGATAAAGATATTGTCAATAAGCAACTACTACCTGGGGTGTACTCAATTCCCATCATCAAGAACATGAGAGTGAACCAAAATTCTGAATACATAGGAACAACCAGTCACTCCATACACCAGCTCCTTCAAACACATGCCAAGTATGTGTTTGAAGGAGCATGAAGCTGTTATCAAAAAAGGTCATTCTGATACAGCATTGTCAGCAAATGCTATTGACAACAAAGTACAAGTACAATTTGATAATGCACACATCAAACTAGATATAAGACATCTCATAGCTTTGGAAAAACTACCAACATATAAGGTCCTCAAAGAAATACATCTATAAACTTTAAAGACAATAACATTCTATTTCAAGCCAGAGATTGTGCTTTGAAACTTTTAATTTATTTTCCTTTGTAAAAATCTCTAGTAAAATTGCAGCCCTGATCCAATCAAATTTATTGAATATGATCTAATTTTAAATTTTTATATTAAAGTTTCTATTCCACTTTAAAACATCCAGAACCTGATGATGACTACTGAATCTAAGTGAAAACATTTCTTTGCCAATAAAGTTTTGTTAAATTAGTGCTGAATCTAAATTTTATAGGTGTTAGTGTTTTATTCTATCATGAAATTCTGTTTTAAAAAATTTTCTATCATTTTTTACAACTAATATTTTGTCAAAACATGCAATAAATGCCATGAAATATTGCTGCAGTATCTATAATTTTCAAAAAAGTATTTCATTACATTTGTAGTGAAAATATTTTATTTTAAAATATAAAAACAATTTCTATTTCTGTATAATGAGTTTATCTATCTATCTATATTAATTTTTAACTGACATTTTCAAAAATTATTATATGAAGAAATAATGAATATATTCATTATTCTCAACAATAATAATAATTCATATTATACTAATTTTGAGGGCATTATAATTCCTAATAAATTAGTATAATATAAGTTTTCAAAAAGAAGTTATCAGAAAATTAGTTCTTTCCATACAAACTCAATAAATTATTATTTTTCAAAAATTATTTGAAAAAAATGAAATAATTTTTGTGCTGACAGTAATTTACGTAGTAAAAAACATATTAAAAAATACAAAAAATTGTGTCTTCAGTTTGTATCATTGTCACCACTGACAAATCAAAAATGCAAATCTTCATTTACAGAGACAGCCTTTTATTTAAGGCTAAGCCTCTGTGAAAAAAGGTAAATTTGAAAAAAGGTTTCTGGCCACAATATCATAAATTAAAACCAATTGTTCATTAACTATTGGTTTTAATTTATGGATTGTAAAGAGAAAACTTTTTGTATTCAATATATTTTTACTATGAAAATTATCATCAGCCATTTATGAACTATTAATTTTAATTTATGCTAATGTCACCAGAAGATATTTTTACCAATTTACATTTTTTACAGAGATGTAGCCTTAAATAAAAGGTTGTCTCTAAGTGAATATTTGTTTGTTTGTTTGTTTTTTTTTTTTTTTGTCAATGGTGACTGTTAAACAAAAATTGTGAAGACAACAACTTTTTTATTTTTTAAGAGATTGTAAGAGATTTTTACATACACTTAGAACCATTTACACATATGCATTTAAAATTTTTAATACATACTTTTACTTGACAAGTAAGAAGATTTACTTTAGTAGGAGGCTTTGTTTCCTAAAAAAAAATTAATTAATTGAAATCAAAATTTTTCAATTTAAACAGAAAATCTATTTATTACATACATCAGAATGTGATATATATAAATATCCATCTCTTATTTCACATCGTCGTTTTTGCCAAACTTTTCTCATTTTTCCATCTGACTTCTTATGCAAATGCCCAACTTTAGTATAACCATAATGTTTATTACCTTGCAATTGATGGAGACTATATCCTGATTGCAAAGTTGATAAACACTAAATAAATAATGAAATTATTATTGATATTATGCAAAATACTAAAAAGTCAATTAATTTTATATTATCTTAGAATAAAATATAATAGATTTTTCTCCCCACAAAACAGGTTCAGAAAAAATTTTGAAAATAGTTCTGATTTGCTTCTTTCTGAAGTAAGTTCTATTATTCAATTTAGTTCATAAAACTTTATATAAAAAAATTTACTAAATATCTGAATATATATTTTTCTACATATAAATTACTTCATCAATAAATAATTCCTTAACATTCGACAACATCAAAAAGAAAGAAAAAACAGATTTTCCTACAACTTTCCAGCACTTGAACAAGAAGTTAAGCAGAAAATTGTGTGTTGTGCCATCTGTTATTAAGATTTTATTAAAAAATAATTTTTTATAGTATTATTATAAAAGGAAAAAAAATCCTTATTTTTGGAATACGAGCGAATTTTTCTAAAAAAAGTTTTGAATGCCAATACAAGTAAATCAAGTAAAATTTACATTAAGCCTGAACCCACTTGAGATATCACCCTTACTTCTCCATCTTCTTTTGACTTACAATCTCCAAAATTAACAGCGTCAATGCCTATATGAGCCGTTGATTTTGAAAGTGAGGCAAATTCATTTTATGTTATTGCTGTATATTTAATGGTTTGTATATAAATGAGTTTAAAAATATTTGTAAGCAGTAATATACTTATTTTATATATATATTTTTTATTTCATGTAAATTTAATATGCAATAATTGTTATCCACATTAGGTGAAAAAATCATGCACCTGTGGACTTGCCTCACTTTCAAAAGCAATGACTTGTTGAAAACATTGCTTTTTTTTTAATGAAATATAGTTATAATAAAGAAAATTGAATATTTTATTTATTTACTTATTTATTTTATTTCAACATTTAATACTTTTTTCAAAAAGCTACAATGAAACAAAAAATAAATTTAATTTTATAAGAAAAAGTGGAGAAAATAATAATAAATATTTAGTAATAAGTTGCATGCATATAATTATATTTCTTAGTTTAGATGGTGCAGATTTTTAAAGTATTCATGATAAATGGGTGGTATATAAAGTAATAAATCCATATCATCTTCATATTTTCTTTAAAGTGGACTTGCCTCACTTTCAAAATCAACTCACTGTAAATATCATTGATGATATTTACAGTGAGCTCTTTTTTGTCAATTGGAATAATATAACCAAAAAAAGTTGATCATCTTGTCAAGAGACCAGGATATGTAAATATAGGAAGAACAGTCTTCAATTTGGGAATCTCAGAATTTAAAAACTTTTGCTGAATACAAAAAGTCTTCCAGAAAGTTCAGGAAAGTTGATAATTCTACTTAAAAAAGTAATGGACGTTTTTTTCAATTATTTTAAAATTAAGGACTACTGGTTAAATGACCTTGAAAGTATTTTGTCTTGAGGTACTCATGAAAGAATTCATTATATTTTATAATATTGAAGCAGATGAGTGCCTGAAGAGCAAAGTCAACTCCACAATGAAACTATTATGTTTGAGAGAAAAAAAGAATGAAATGTGAAGATACTTTTAATTTATTTTAGTGTTTCTTCTATTTTTGTAAATTTTTTTAAAAGTATATTTATTGTCCTGGCCCTTTTTTGTCAATTGAAATAATATACAGTGGTACCTCAGGATACGAAATTAATCCGTTCCGAAACTGAGATCGTATCATGAAAATGTTGTAAGGTGAATCATTTTTCCCCATACGATTACATATAAAACCAAATAATTCATTCCAACATGAAAAACATTCTGAAATTAAAGCTTAGTAGTACAGTGGAAAAAAAAATAATAATAACTTTAGTAAGGAAAACACTGAAAAATGCATTTTGTAGTTGTAAATGTATAAATAACTAAAACAGAATAATAATTGATTTAAAAAAATGTAGTTTTATTTGCACTTTACCTTTGAGGATAGACGTCGGCGGAGGAGGAGAGGGAAAAAGGAAATGATACTAAAACTTAACTTACATGACATAATGTAACAATAACTTAAAAATAACTTAACACTAATTTTTTAACTTTTCTGTTTTATATATATTTTATAAATATTTTATTCACTGCTTTTTGCCATATTTCCTTCACTTCCACCAGCACTTTAACGCGGCCGGATGGCCGGGCGGTCAAGGTAGCAGCCTACTGCTCTGGGGGACTCAGGTTTGAATCTGAATGGGTCAAAAATCCCCAGTAATTTTTTGGGGGGTCTGTTCAGATATGTCTGGCCCCGTCCCTCACCACCCGGCAGTCCCATTGTGGGCCTGGCCAAACCCATAATGGGCTTGCAAAAAGAGGCACTCTTAGTGCCCACAGGGCGAAAAGAGTAAAAAAGAACCCAGCGCTTTCACTTCACTAAATAGAGGTCACTCAATAAAATATCTATCCAAAGAGGTTTGGCTTTGCCTAGTTTTTAAAATGTTTCTAAAATGACTTAGGCAAATGTCATTACTCCGAGCAGCAATACGGCCAGTGTAAACCTTTTCGGAATGTTTCTTTTCAATAAAATCAGTCACTTTCTGATAATACCTCAAGATTTCCTTTATCGAGCAAGATCCTTCCACGACAAAGCAAACATGCAGACTGAGACCAATGAACAAAGTGAATAAAAAATGGTGCTGCAAACTAATGTAACGTCATATGGTGAGTTTTTGTTTGTACCATGGAGCAAAATTACATTCAAAATTCATGTCATACCCTGAAAATTTCGTATGCTGGGGCATTCGTATCCTGAGGTACCACTGTAATAAAATAAGATTAACGAATAACATTTTTCAATAATTACATTTTCAGCATGTTTGAAATCTTAAGAACATGTACAGATATTTAAAACAAACTATGCCAGTTTACAGATAACTAAATTATTAGCTAGAAATTGACAAAAGCACAAATGTGCACACACACACACAAACAATTATTTAAAATTTCTATACTCACCTCTCTTCCATCTAAAGAAGGTGAACTTCGAAGAGTATTTCGAAGTTCAATTAATTTCTTTCTCTCTTCATCTTGTTTCTGTCGAATTTTTTGAAGTTTTGTGGCAAGTTCTGTTATATAGCCACTAAAATGTTCTATTGTTTTTAGTCCATCTTGAAAATAACTAAATTGAACAATTTTTATTAAATGATTTTATAAATTTTGAAAATATCTGAATAAATAATTTTACAATACTAATTTTTATACAATCAAAAAAAAAAACTGCACAGCAATTTCTAATAATTGTTTCATTTGTACTTTTTAAAAAATTTTCTTTAACGGAAACATAGAATACATTTTTATTAATTATTATTATATTTTTAATATGTTATATTATAATAATATATCTAGTAATGTATCATTGGTAGAGAACCATAAGCAACTAACCATAAAACAGTAATTTTTAGAAAATGCAATTTAAAAATTGAACCTAAGATAAACGACTTCCAACAACTTAACACTGCGTTGAATAATAACAATCCACGAAAAAACCTTTTTTTACGCGTGTTATGTCACAATTAAATTCCACAAGTACTTTCGACCTCCACCGAGGTCTGCTTCAGGTGGTGACTGGCCGTGTTTCGACCCGACCGTCGTAACGATGTTGCCAACGATGTAAATAAATAAATGTGCGCGTCGGGTTTCACCCCTCTAACTGCCCTTGCTCGAACTCCTCGAATAAATACTTCCACGCCTGTGCAAGTGTTACCCCATCCCTGTAGTTGATGCAGTTGCCCTCCATGATAGCTTTGTGAATCTCCCAGGCCTCCAGGTGACGTATGTGATCCGCGCGGAACACGTGTCTGATAAGTTTGGTGTTCCGGAAGTCCGCCCTTATTTCAGGGTCGGTGACATAGGTTGATAAGGCAGTGGTGTGTCTTTTATACTTAATATCAGCTTGGTGTTCACGTATTCGTTTCTGTGTTGATCGGATGGTGGAGCCAATGTAAACTAAGTCTCTATTGAATCTGTCGTCCCGTATGGGAATGGAGTAAACACCTGGGGCCCTGGTGAGATCTATTGCGTCCTTCGCGTTGTGCAGCAAGTCGTAAAGCGTGCCGGTTCTTAAGTACGCGATTTTGGTGCGGCTTTTGCTAGCGATCTCCCAATATAGGGGGTCAAGATGCCGGTTGAAGCGGACGACTGCGCGTCTCGCGTTCCCATCTGGTTGGCGGTTGTCGTCCTGCAATGGTAGGGGGCAGTCCCGGGTAGTCCCATCGTTACGACGGTCGGGTCGAAACACGGCCAGTCACCACGGTGGAAGCAGACCTCGGTGGAAGTCAAAAGTACTTGTGGAATTTAATTGTGACATAACACGCGTAAAAAAAAGGTTTTTTCATGGATTGTTAAAAATTGAACCAACCAAAAATTTGCTATTTTATTTATTAAAATAGCAAAATTTTATAAATTTTGCTATTTTAACCATTTGGAATTTACATATCTGCTTATGATCCCAAATAGAATGTGTTAACTTTAATATGAATGATCTCTAATTGAAAAAATCCAGCAACAAGTTGTATAACTTTTCCAGCTGTTATGAGATTTTATTTAAAAAGTAACTTTTCTATTATTAATCATATATAAATAAATAAAATTGTATGTGGTGCCATCTGTTATAAGAATTTGTTATAAAAGCTTTCTATATTTTTAATTATTATAAATTTAATTTTGAGGGTAGAGATGAGCTTTATTTAAAAAAAAAAACATTGAAATGCTAACAAGAAAAGTTAAGTCTGATCCCACTCAAGATATGACACATTACAACCTCTCAACCTTTTATAATTAAAATTTAATAGCATCAATGTCCTCTATATACAAGCTACCATGCCAAACCCATAGAATTTCCCCTATTTTTTAACAATTTTTGGGTTCAGGAAGTCTTGAAACACTGAGATTTGCAAAAAACCTGAAGGGTCAAATTTAACATAATCCCAACACTTTCCTTTGTTATGTAATCATAACAGCAGGGAAAGTGAAACTGCAAAATTTAGAGTTAGCCGCTTTTGGTTCTATACCCATGATATTTAATTGCATTATTATATTTATACATTATATTTCTATTATTTTTACTATTAAATACTAACAGTACAACAAAATTTTGTTCAAAATAACAAAAATTAAGCTTCTTCAAATATGTGAAATTTGTACAAATCTTGATAAAACAATAGGAATTATATTTAAATTGTTTCTAACGGAAGTGATAATACACAACCTGCTGATACAAGGAAAAAGAATGTTTAATTTTCTTTTTAATATTTATGACTTCTCAAAAGCATAAAAAGAAAAGTTTCAGAACTCATCAGTTAGAAATGTAAAGTTATCTTCTTTAGAAGCTGATAAAGTTAAAGTAAAGTTCTTGGATAAGTCCTTGTTACAGGTTTTTGGTATAAAGGGCCAGTTTGGTGTCTTTGACAAAATACATTTTCTAATAAAATTAGAAATAGTGTCTAATAGCCAGTTCTAATAATTCATTCTAATCATTCATCTTGATAAATTACAAGCATAAACCAAAAATTTAGATTATGCTTTTGTAAAATTTAAGAATAGATTAAGTGAAGTAGGGAAACTTAATACAGATGAAAATGTTTAGTACATTTAAAAACTCTTTATTAAATATTAAAAAATTTAGCCTCAATTTAATAAAAATGTTGGCTTACCTAAATGACAAAAGCAAATTTCATGTTGTTATTACATCATCTGCTTTTAGATAAGTATAATACTAATTTTGAAGTGTCTGGTGATTATTTGATTTGAATTTTTTTTTAAGATTTTTTTCATAGATTTGATAATAAACTTTAATACTCATTTTTTAAAAATTAACAAAAATTTCATAACAATATTTCTTTCAAATATAATAATTACAAAATTACTTATACTGATTATTTTCTTCTGATTATATAATCAAATAATAATTATATAAAATTGAAATTAGTTATTGTGACATCGTCATAATGTCAGACTATAATTTTAGATCATATTTCAATTTAAAATATCTATTTTCAGAATGAATCAAAATATAAAAATATATATAATTTAAATTTTAAAAATATGAGATCACATGACATGACTATTTAGGGGGGGTGAGTGCTACATTATTGATCTCAATTTATCATAAGGATCAATTCTATATCAAATTTGNGTCGAAACACGGCCAGTCACCACGGTGGAAGCAGACCTCGGTGGAAGTCAAAAGTACTTGTGGAATTTAATTGTGACATAACACGCGTAAAAAAAGGTTTTTTCATGGATTGTTAAAAATTGAACCAACCAAAAATTTGCTATTTTATTTATTAAAATAGCAAAATTTTATAAATTTTGCTATTTTAACCATTTGGAATTTACATATCTGCTTATGATCCCAAATAGAATGTGTTAACTTTAATATGAATGATCTCTAATTGAAAAAATCCAGCAACAAGTTGTATAACTTTTCCAGCTGTTATGAGATTTTATTTAAAAAGTAACTTTTCTATTATTAATCATATATAAATAAATAAAACTTTAAAATATGTTTTAAAGCTTAAATTCCACTTTTTATAAGTTATACCTCGTCTTTAAAACTACATTTTGAATCATTTAAAATTAAATTTGCCACAAATTTCCCCTAAATTTCATTTGTATTCAATGAAATTTCTTCATAAGGAAAACAGCTTTATTCCTCTCTGAAAGCACCAATAAAATTCAAGATTCTCATGAGCTCATCCAATGAAAATTTCACTTTTAATTCCCGACTGTTATATGTAAACAGGAAAAGTATAACTATAGGTCAAAAAATGATCCCCATTTTTGACTCGGGGACTTTAAACATCGAGTAGTGCAGAAAAGTTGGGGGTTTAATGTATATATGAATGTTGGTGTGTGTGAGGACACCATTTAGTTCACACAGTTTGAAGCTTAATAACTCCAGTGTCTTTTGTCGTAAACTTCTGAAATTTGGTAGAGAGGTTTGTGTATTAGGGGCCTTGATGCTGTTGAAATTTGGTGGATAAAGGTCAACAGAATGGGGATAGAGAGGGGTCGCTTTTCTTATCTTGAGTGGGATCGGACTTGATGAACATTTTACTGGTTATTAGCATTTACAATTTTTTTTTTTTTTATATAACTCATNCAAAAATAATATTGGAATAGCCCAAGACATAGCCAAAGATTGCAGCACCACAGCACTAGAAAGATTTAAATTTGCTGACTGGAATTCTTTCAGATAACTGACGTTTTGGATAACCGACTTTCGGATAAACGACGCTCTACTGTAATTATAATCATTTAAAATTTTTGAAAATATTTATTATCATTTTGAAAATTTTACAAATACAAAAAAACATATTAAAAAAAAAAAAATAAAGTCTATATTTATTTAAGGGAGTTCATGGAAAAAAATTTCTTGAAAGAGATTGATATATGAGAAAGATTGGGATGTTTCTCAACTACAATTTATGCTATCAAAATGTAGTTGCTGAGCTTTGAATCTGTAATTGACACTTCAGTCCATAATTTAATATATAGCATTTTTTTGGAAGAAAATTATTTGAGATAAACATGCAAAATATATTTAATTTAAACTGTATTAGAGAAAATTTATTTTGAGATAAAGATGTTTTTGAGTTAAACATGTTTGAGATAGATAGGTTCAACTGTATATATCAAACTTACAAAGAAACATTAATGAATTATTTAATAATACATAAAACTTTCTTACTTGTTTTGAGCATGGTAATATTCTACTAAATGCTGTAATAATTCCACACCTTTTTTTGTTTTAATTTCGTTTACTTTGATCAGGTACTAATTCAAAGTCAATATAAAAAGTATAAAGGTGAATGATTTTATTCCTTATTAATTTAAATTTTAAAAATATGAGATCACATGACATGACTATTTAGGGGGGGTGAGTGCTACATTATTGATCTCAATTTATCATAAGGATCAATTCTATATCAAATTTGCTGCTCTATATAGAAAAGTGAAAATTTTGAGCCCCAATTAACTATATACAAATTTCTAATCCATACTGAAAGTTTGTATATAGTTAATCAGAACTCTGGCTCTAAGCTTTCCATATCTGGTTTTGATTTTAATCTCATTCACTTCATTCTTGAAATTAACAAAGTCTGAACAGACATTAAAAATGTATAGGTCTGCCATTAAAATTGCAGCCTAAAAATAATTAGAATTCTGCTTATTTATATCATAAAATAAAATACAGTCGACCCCCCTATAATTACGGTCCCTATAATTACGATTCCTATAAAACTACAAAAAAATATACGTATTTTGGAAATGTTGAGTCGGATTAGTGTAGAATCGATTAATTTTATGGAAGAAAACCTTTCAATCAGCCATAGTCCATAAACTTGACACGTGTCGGGCTGTGATTGGAACGACTTGTAAGAAATCGGATTCCTAATAAATTGGAACGTATCTATATCTTATAGGGTGGTTGACTGTATTTACAACAAATAAACTTTTAAAAAAACTGATTCTATTTAATAGTAAAACTTTTTTGATTTAAAAAACATCAAAAATAAATCTAATACAGTTGAACATGTCTATCCCAAATCTCAGTGGAATGAGAAAAAATTCAAGATAAACAGGTTTTGAGATATACAGGTTAATACACAGTAAAGAGTAATTGGTTTGATTGGAAGTATGACATTTTATCAATACAATAGCAATTATAGTACATACCTGTATCAGATATATATAAAACATTTTTGACATATTTAACAGAAATAGTTGCCAATCCCCAACTTTCTTCAACCAATAAGATGCACGCCAAACTAGGGGCCAATCAGAGAAAAGCAGTGTTAATTGCAACTATGAACTACAGAATTTCTCAATGAGGTCAATACTGATCCCTTAGGGATCAAAGAGCACATTAAATACATATTGTATATGTATACATAATATTTTATTATTGTTTAAAGATTTAGTACAGTAGAGCATTGTTTATCTGAATCAATTGGGGCTAGGGTTGTTCGAATAACTTATTTTTTAGATAACCGAATTTGTACGAAAAAATATATTAACCTATCCATGTTGAAATTTTTCTCTGTTGCGTGTCGCGTTGCGCCGAATTTTCGTCAATGTTAAGCATAATGAAAATTTTTATAATAATAATCATGGCTTTTATATTGTTAAAAATTATTTCTTTATTTTGTACAAACAAAATATATTGAAAAATATAAAAACAAAAAAAATTATACTTTAGAAGTTAATCTAGTATCAAAAACATTCGATTCAGCATGACACGTCCCAACACACAGTCCTCAGAAAAACACCACACAAAAGTGCCAAGTGCTGACAGCTAAAACACACACACCAACAAAATAATATTGGAATAGCCCAAGACATAGCCAAAGATTGCAGCACCACAGCACTAGAAAGATTTAAATTTGCTGACTGGAATTCTTTCAGATAACTGACGTTTTGGATAACCGACTTTCGGATAAACGACGCTCTACTGTAATTATAATCATTTAAAATTTTTGAAAATATTTATTATCATTTTGAAAATTTTACAAATACAAAAAAACATATTAAAAAAAAAAAAATAAAGTCTATATTTATTTAAGGGAGTTCATGGAAAAAAATTTCTTGAAAGAGATTGATATATGAGAAAGATTGGGATGTTTCTCAACTACAATTTATGCTATCAAAATGTAGTTGCTGAGCTTTGAATCTGTAATTGACACTTCAGTCCATAATTTAATATATAGCATTTTTTTGGAAGAAAATTATTTGAGATAAACATGCAAAATATATTTAATTTAAACTGTATTAGAGAAAATTTATTTTGAGATAAAGATGTTTTTGAGTTAAACATGTTTGAGATAGATAGGTTCAACTGTATATATCAAACTTACAAAGAAACATTAATGAATTATTTAATAATACATAAAACTTTCTTACTTGTTTTGAGCATGGTAATATTCTACTAAATGCTGTAATAATTCCACACCTTTTTTTGTTTTAATTTCGTTTACTTTGATCAGGTACTAATTCAAAGTCAATATAAAAAGTATAAAGGTGAATGATTTTATTCCTTATTAATTTAAATTTTAAACAATAAATATAAATTATTATATATATATATATATATATATATATAAAACAACTTTCAAAAATAATTTTAACTTTAAAGTTGTATTCAATTTTGTACATTATCTGTTTGTATCTTTTAAAGATATAATCATAGTATTCAAAGATATGATTAATATGATTATGATAAAAACTATATTAGAATAAAAAGTTTATAATATTGTTCAAAATAATCTCTTTGAGAAATTATATACTTTGTACTCAGTAACAAGAAAATCAAATATTTTTAAATTCATTTAAATAAACTGTTATAGAATTCATTTCCAACTTGTATTTAATATCTTATTAACTGTCCTCTTTTTAGCATCAATTTCATTTCCAAAACAAGTCCAAAATAGATAAATGAAAAAAAATAAGAAAAACACTTTAGCACTCCTACTTTGATAAAGCTTCTTAATTGTCATTGTAGAATAAGACTATACATTGTCATATGACAATATCAACTTTTTTCTAAAACTGAAGCCTTATTTGATAAACTGTTTTAACCTATCCCATGTTCAAATTTTTCTCCGATGCATGTTGCTTCACATTGAATTTTTGTCATTGTTAAGCCTAACGAAAATTACACGTTTTAGAAAAAAGTAATCTTAGCTATTGTATTGTCCAAAATTATTTTCTTATTTTGCACAAACAAAATAGACATATTAAAAAATGTAAAAACAAAAAAAAAATTATATGTTGGAAGTCAGTTTTAATATAAAAATTATGATGACTAGTGATATCTAGTGTTAAAAACATTTTAATGCAGAAACAAGATATCTCAGGTCCACCAGTCTGGGTCTTTATGTATCAGCTTGAATATCTTGGGAATACCCACAAAACAGGTTAACTAATGACTCAAAATTGTACTTAAACTTTTTATTCACTAATATATAAATGAACAAGTCCAAACTTTATAATAATCAGTTCACAAAAGACTATTTCAGGCTATAACTTAGTAAACTATTAATTATTGATATAAAGTAACTGATTTATAGGTTGGTGGCATTTTTACTGTTAGTTAGGCATCTTAACTGCTTGCCTTTCTCAAGTTACTTTTTATTGATAATTAATGTAAGCCAAGTTACAGCCTGAAATTATCCATTATTTAGTGATCTGACTTTTCATTAACTTATCCGATCTTGTGCATTTTCTTACTAACAAAAAATTGTAATATGACAGAAAGAAACCACATACCTCACACATCTGAAGCTGAAACAATTTTCTTTCTTTTTCCATTTCATCAGCAATCTAAAATTAAAATTTTTAAAACTTTTTACTCAAATAAGTCAAAGGTAGTTCATATAATTAATGCTACTAAACTGTTTACTTCCTATGTAATTATTAAAAAAATTTTATTTAAAACTAAAAAAATATTCATTAAAATTAAAGAGCTTGAAAAGAAACAGATATAGCAACTGTAATCTTACTAATATTACTAAAAGTAAAATATTAGGAAAGAGAAGAAAAGAAAAATGTAGAATTAACACACACAAATAAATTTAACAATTGATTCATTATATAATTGACTTGCTGTATGTTAGATTTCAAATGTAAAACCGCCTCTAATCCAAAACAATATGGTGGACGTGTCTCACAGCAATTCTTGGTTAGCAATATTTTATTTTCTAATTGAACTACATGTGCATTTCAGGTTGGTGTAATATGTTCCAACCCCTGAAAATCCACATTTCTCCAAAAACCAATTTGTTTTTAAAGAAATGTGGATCCTGATAACAGTATATCTTTATTCATTGTTGTATTTTAACAGTACGATAGTAATATCTTCGAGCATATATAATGTACCTATTTATGGCTTTTAGGTTTGTACCTGTATAATGTCAGGAATAAGGAAAGTGTATTCTCTCTTTTTTGTAATTTATATACTGGAGAATTCACTGAGGAGAGGTTGGAACATATTACACCAACTGGAAATGCGTATGTAATTCAATTAGAAAATAAAATCATATTGCTAACCGAGAACTGCTATGAGACATGTCTACCATATTGTTTTGGATTACAGAGATGGTTTTTACATTTGAAATTTAACAATTCATATGAGATCTGAAAATCACGAAGAAAAGAGCATAAACAAAATAGACTTATGGTGGCAGAACAAGGAAAGTTTTTAGAATACACATACAAACAACCAGATGTAATTTTAACACGTTAACTGCCATCCGTCGCGCCAGCGGTCGTACGGCATACGACCTTACAGCGCCGTACGACCGCACACCTTCAATTAAACAATGTAGTTTCACTCAAAATTAAATTATCCTGGTTAAATTTTTTAAGACGTTTTTCTGCATGCTAGTGGTGGCCTCTCATGGACGTCTATGCACTTGGCTTGGAACACCAATGGTCAGATGGCCAGAGCGTCCCTTAGCTACAACCACTGGCGCGTCATATGGCCTCATGAAGTGTTTCAAGGTCTGCGGTCATAGTTTTTTTTTTAAATAAAAATCTATTTTATATCTGATAGGTGGTTTATTTTAATAGTAAATAGTTTAAAATATCGAAAACTAGTTTAATTATTCTCTTTTATTGCATATAAAGTAAATAATATTACAAAAAAAAATCAATGTATATAAGTACGTTTTAATATATATTTACAGAAAAAAACAACATTTGCAGTGGAAACAAAGTGTGAAATACTTTTAACACAAAGATGTAAAACCTTTTAAGTAGGGGAGGACTTCTAATTACAGAGGATTGTAAAATAAATAGCTGGGGGAAGTAGTCTCCCGTTCAAGGCCATACGACTGCCTGCCAACATGCACATATCTTTATCATCTCCCCTCTCATGACTGTTATATATCAACTCTTTTATTTACATTAAAATAAAATATTAAATATCAAATTTTCTCATTTTGGCCCCCCTTTACACAAAATATCATATTACAGCGGGCAGTTAACACTTACCGTGTTATGAATGTAAAATTACGTTTTCCGCATTCCTTCACAAAAAACGAAAAACGTAATATTACATTTTTTTGAAATATCTTGTTATCTTTGGTTTTAAAACGTATCACTACATATGCAGCAAAACGTGAAAGGATTATTTGTGTTTATTAGTTACTATTTTGACCATTAGAGGGCATATTAATTTCAGAAATTCAAACGAAGAGTTTGTTGTTAAGATTACTTTTACAGTTCGATTTCGAGTTTAGTTCTTGTTACGGTTGTTATACTTCGGCTTTTTTATTTCGTTTATTTTATTATTTTCTCTCAGAAAGTATTAAATATGGCTCAAAGACGTAATGAGGAGGATATTTCTCAATTTATTAATGAAGAACTAGACAAATATAATGATAATGATACTGATATAAGTGATGAGAGTAATAGTGAATACATTTTAGGTTCATCTGGAAGTGAAGAAAGTACAGGTAAGCCATATAATTTTATTTTCTTTGTAGATATATAGTTTAAAAAGTATGTGATATTATATTTTTATATTATTAGATCAAGAGTCAGATTCGTGTATGTATGGCAGTGTAAGTTCCATCCCCTCTACATCTGCTTTACCATCACATCCACGAAAGAGAGCTAGGGTGAGTGCACAATCTACTAGTGATAAGGACTGGAAAGACATGGATCAGGTACCAAATATTACTGTGTACACTGGTGATCATGGTCTTCAGAAGAATATTGGCCTTGATCAAACTAGTGACCTTATTGATTTTTTTTAATCATTATGTTGATCAAGAGGTCATTTCAAATATTAGAGCAAACAAACATGTATGCAAGGCAGAAAATTATAGCTCTTAGATCTAAAAATGCTCTAAGCCCCAATTCCAGATTTAAATTGTGGAAAACTCTGACTTTGGCATAAACAAAAAAATTTATTGCAATTATACTGCATATGAGCATCAATGAAAAGCCTGATTTGATAAGCCATTGGAGTGAAGACCAGTAATAAGTTGTAATTTTTGTCCTAATATAATGTCAACGGATAGATTTTTGAATATTTTGTCCATGTTTCACCTGAATGACAATTCTAAACAGAAAAAGAAAGGAGAAGAAGGCTTTGATACTTTATACAAAGAGAGGCCTCTAATGGATAATATAATAAACAAATTTCAAAAAACATATTATCCTGAAGAGGCTCTGACAATTGATGAAGGCATGTGTCCATTTAGGGGTTGTGTCAGTTTCAAAGTTTACATGGCAAAGAAACCAAATAAATACGGAATAAAGTTATATATAGTATTGGCTGAGGCCAACACTGGTTATATTTGGAATTTTGAAGTCTATCACAGCAGAGACCAAAATATTGAAAACACAGCTGCTTCTGTAGTAAAAAGATTAGTCGATCCACTATCAAATAAGGGTCATACAGTATACGTTAATCGGTTTTATACCAGTATTTCACGTGCAGAATATTTGAGTGAAGTAGATACTGGAATGGTAGGAATAGTAATGAAAACTAGAAAAGGCCTGCCAACAGCGCTAAAAGAAGCGAAATTGAAAAAAGGAGAGCAAATATTTCACCGTAAAAATAACATATTAGCTTTATGATGGAAAGACAAAAGAGATGTATATATGATAAGTACCAGACACACTGCAGACATGCATCAAGTTCAAAAGAAAGGGAAAAATAATTTGAAAAAAAAAAAAACAGTCGCTATTATTGACTATAACAATCACAAAGCAGGAGTTGATCTAGTTGACCAGAGGCTGTGATAGTGCTTTTTCACATAAAACTGTGAAATGGTGGAAAAAACTAACTTTTCATCTAATAATAATGTGTGTAACAAATGCATGCATTTTGCATAATACAATAATGACTAAAAAAGATAACTGTTAAATTTATACGATATATGTTCTGCTTTAGTGTTAATTCCAGGAGAAAATATCAACAATAATCCTATTGAAAATAAAAAAATTGCCAGATTATCAAAAAAACACTTTTTAGAGAGAGTAAAGATATCAAAAGGACAAAAAAAAGCCCAAAGAAGATGCATTGTTTGCAGTGATAAGCAGAAGTACTTAACAGGAAAAGCAGCCAGAAAAGACACTTCGTATCAGTGTACTGAATGTGATGTAACCCCGTGTTTTAAATTGTATCATACACTACTACATTATGAAAAATAAATTAGCAATGTATTCTTAAATTAGCAATGTTTCCTTAGTAAATATGACATATAATATAAGCATTATAATGTTTTTCAATTTTTTTCACGTTGTGTCTATTTGCAAAACATGTCCAAATAAAATTGCAATGCAATTAATTAAAATATTGCACACATACATCAAAATTGAGTGTAATATATAGAAATGTTCAACAAATCAGAATCTGTTTACACTTTTTACCTAGCTTCAGTGTAACATTTTCTATCTTCAGTAGAAAATACAGTAAAATTAGGAAAATCAGCCAGCACACAGGTAAGAACTAAATCAACTGGACCAGCACAGTAAGTGTTAATGTGTTAATATGAAATTCTTTCATAGTAATTTTTTATTATATTTTCAGATTAACCACCATGTAAACAAATTAATCATAATTAAGGAATAAATGTTCAAGAACTCTTTGCAAAAACAACTATTGGACAAATCTTAACCAAATTTGATATACATACTTCTGAGTATGTGGTTTTGATTTTTGGAAAAAAATTAATTTCAAAATTCAGCCACTAAAAAGAAATTTGGTGTTGCTCTTTCCTTAATATGCATATCACATACATTTTCTAACAAATTTTGGGTTTAAAAGGAATCATAGAACATGCTTCACAATTCTTTGACATGTAAAGTCATTGTGCTCATGTTGCCTGATCATACAGTAGACCCCACTGTAACGCAAATTCCTATAATGTGGATTCCTATAACATGGTGAAAAAATTGCGACAGTATTCGTATAAAGACGCTAAAAGGGACGCGTAAAACGTCATCGCCAACTCATGTTGCGACAGGATTGGTCGAATCTGGACCAACAGTAGACGAGCAGCCAAACTAATTACACGCTATGAAGAGTTTAGACGGGTAAGTTGAGTTTACTATCGTCTGTACAGTATTATTGTACCTTCGATACAACTTCGAACATATACTATGAGGGTACCTTTTTTTGCTTATTGTGGTTGATTCATCAATTATCAATGAAATTTTATTCTTGGATTCAACAATTTTTTTTAACAACAGTTTTCTTCATTTCTTCACTTATATAAGTAACAATGTTAATACACACATTTGTAGAATGAAGAATACGACCCATTTCAACTCTGTTGAGTTCTTGCAAATCAATTTGTTTCAAAATG